AAAAAAAAAGGCATCCAATGGCTTCAATCCAGAGGCTTGTCCAGCAGCAGCATCATGGTTCACACTCAACCGAGTATTCATGATCTTGGTAACAGTCAATGTAGAAATGCAAAGGCTTTAACATCAAGTGCCGTGTAGACCAAAAATAACATTTACCACTCATACTCACCAAAACACCTCTCACACTCACCCAAAAACTGCTCAGTGAGCGAAAAAAAAACTCTGACACTAACAAAAACCTCTTACTCACCAAAAAACTGAAACATAGAACAAAGTTTCACCCAAAAAACAAAAATCCTTAACATACACACACAGTATGAGGCCCTTTTAAAAACCTCAAGCGAAAGTAAAAAAATCGTGTTTGTGAAAGGGAGCTCAAAACTCACTCCCCAATGTCAAATGCCAATTGGTTCTGCCATGCAGTAAGTCCCGCCCTCTGTCTGTTGATGTTGAGCGTTTGTGGTATTTTTTTTTTGTTTATCTGAGAGGGATTTTCTTGTCGCTAGAGGTTGTTGGTGCGTTTGAGGGGTTTTTTGGGTGTCGTTTTTTTTAATGTGACTTTTTGATATATGTGAGCATTTCTTATTGAATGTGAAAGGTTTTTGGGTGCGTGTAAGAGGTAAATGTTATTCGTGGCCCATACGGCACCTCATACTTGACATGTGATTTTTTTACATTCACCACAAAGAAACTGCGTGACTTTTTTCACTGCAACTTCATTGTGAATAGCAAACAAGTTGGTGCCGGGTGGCATGTTTGGTCAAAGTTTTCCTTTGAGGAAAGAAGAGCACCATGAAACCAAACCGACGGTAAATAAGGACACTGGTGACTCGCACCAAAAGCAAGATTCTGGCGCAAGGCCAAGAGGAATGGAAGATGGAAGCGCTGGTGATGACATCAACAGTGGCGGCCCATTATTTCTGCGAGCGGGGAAGGGGCTGCGCCGAGCGTCATAGGTTCATCCGCAGGTGTTCCGGTGTTTTGGAGTTCAGAGGATAGGCTTTTTTTTTGTAGAGCTGCTCACCGCCGCTCGACGGCCACCTGATGGGAATCGGTGCCGAGGCTTCCGACGCGGCGCTGCTGCTGCTGCTCGTGTCCGTTTGCTCCATTGTGGACATCTCCATGGGTTGTTCCGCAGAGGCTCCCTGCGGCCAACAGTCGCCCCGTGCGAACATCACCGGGCTGCGACAGGGGAAATTAACTGCTGTTATTTTTCCCAACATTAGGACAGTCAATTACATGAACGAGTGTGTCCAAAAGAGAGAAAGCTATAATTTGTCGTCACCTCACAGGCGTCCTCGGGCTTCCCGGGAGCTCGCGAGGCGAGCGGACCTTTGGCTCGAACGAGAATTTCTCCTTGACGTTTTCCAGCACGGACGGAGCCACATACGTGAAACCCTGCGACAAAGCCAATAAATGCCCAGTCAGCTGAATGCCAGCAATGTGGCGGAACAGTGAGGGAAGCTTCCAGGAAGAGGACTCCTGAACCAGATGGGACTCATTGGCCGATTCTGGTAAAACATATTTGTTGAACAGGAAATGAGAAAAACAAAAACATCCACAGGTTGCCCCGGTTGCACGAAATGTTTAGGCACAATAGGCACAACTTTCTTCCCCTTAAACCTTTTTTTAAGTACTTGGGTGGGACGTCCAGCATCCAATGTCTCTTGTGTGATGTTATTTACAGCCAGACAAAAAAAAAAAAAAAAAAAAAAAAAAACCTCATTGCGTTAGCTTGTCACTAGGACAGGCCAGGTAACGTTTTCAGTATCTGGCCCAACAAGGAAAGCTGTTCTCGTTCTGTGCACACCAAATCAGCGATTCTGCATGGTGGGTATTTGCAGTGTTAAATCATCTAATCTAATCTATGCATCTATCCGTGTATCATCCAATTTGACATTGACTGATAGATAAAATCAAGTGGGTAAGTGGCTCGTAGTGTTACATATGGAATACTTCGCAACAAGAATTCAAGACATAAATCCCTCCTCGTTTTAAAACATGGGTGTTGTGATGCGTCCAAAGAAGTAGCATGCACGACACTTACTGCACTTCAAAATCTGTGGACTGTTTTCCACTACCTGTTATTTGTTTTATGGATGATTGTTTATAAAATACATACATGGCAATGGCGAGTGATGAAAAAAGAGGAAGGGGCGTGGCCTGGACGGGGGCGTGGCCTGGACGGGGGCGTGGTTACTTACAAAAGTGGCACTAAACATGCTGAAGATGAAGTGTATTAAATTTACACAGTTTGAAAATTGAACAGAAAAAAATCCCAAGATCGCCACTATTCTTTCAAGTGAAAATTTGTGCAATTTTGCCTATGCATTCCTGGTGAGCACCAATATGTAACTCCAAATTTGCTGCTCAAAATCAAAACTAAAAAAGTAAACACATTCCCTAACATATTTAAGATTTGTTCATAACTTGTATTCATAAAGTGTTGTGTAAATGTGATA